CCCCACCCCTAGTGGATACAAATTTTGGTGACTGTTAGTAATGTGTGGGTAACGTACACTGAACGTGACACATATACAACTTGATTGGCTTACATGTTTCACTGCTGATTGGCTCTTTGGAGGCATAGTCATGACAATCACCATCTGTGTTTGAATTCTAACACAGGTTGATTGTTTTAGCATTGTCTGGGTGCCATGTCACCTGCTTATATAATTGGTCTGATTGAAACCAGTTCCCTATTAGAACCACATGGAGGCTTTCTCTTCCAGAAGCCTTTAATAAACACTGTGCTGTGAATGTTCACGTCAAACAAGTCAACCAAATATACCAATAAGTACCTTTCTTCTTTCTACTTACGGCTTGGAAAAAATACTTCAGTGCTTTCATTGAGTGTTTGTATGTTCAGTCACAGAGACCTTAAGCCGGAGAATCTTCTCCTGGATGAGAAGAACAACATCAGGATAGCAGACTTTGGCATGGCCTCGCTACAAGTTGGGGATAGTCTGCTGGAAACCAGCTGTGGGTGAGTATGGGATTCATTGGGCAAAGACCACAAAGAAGATTTTGTGGTTCAGTTGTCTTATCAGTTTTATTGTAATGGATAAAACAGATAGCATGTGTGCAGTATCTTAGTATTTTAATGACTTTAAGCAACCCATAAAACATCCATTGTGCTTTTTACATAATCAATGGCAGCATTCACCAAGAGCTCAAGCGCTCAGCCCATTGGGAGGAGTATGGATTAAAATGATAAAATTAGCAACAGATTGTAGGTTTTACCTGGATTCACCTTTTCAGTCCGTGGATTAAAAAGCAGGTGTTCTCAGATCACAACACAATCAACATCCATGAAAGCATTTTTGATATCTTGGTGAATAAAATAATTCTTTCCTTTCAGATCTCCCCACTATGCTTGCCCAGAGGTCATAAGGGTGAGTTACCTACTTTAAATGAAGGATGTCTTTTGTGTGTGTTTGCATGTGTAACATTAACCCGCTGCGGTGTTTCAGGGTGAGAAGTACGATGGTCGTAGGGCGGATGTTTGGAGTTGTGGAGTCATTCTGTTTGCTCTCCTCGTGGTAAGAAGATTCTCTCAGCTTCTGGGGTTTTTATATCTCTTTCTTATATTGTGTACTCTTTTCTTTTTTTGTATGATTGTACGACTTATGTCTATTTACATTTACTCTTTGAGCTCTCAGTTATTAGCTGTAACCACGTAACCCAAAACTGAAGCTTGTGGTTGAGAGATGAACAAAAAGTTCTTCTTTGACGAAAAGAAAGAAGGAAAGCTGGGGACCATATGCTGTAAGGTTATTAAAGAGGTCCAGGTGGGAATCTGCCCTGAGGCCATATACTGCAGGTCTTCACCTGCTCTCCCTCCCAGCTTTCCTGTCTTTCTCCACAGTCCTTTCACAATAACTGCTAAACAATGGATAATATTTGATGTGGGTTAATAACAGTGATCTGATTTCCAAGATCTTGGCTGAGGTCTGCCATGTGCTTTTACCCCTCTGAGGTCACCCTGGGTGATTTGTCCTAACTTTATATCTTGGAGAAAGGCCAAATGGATCATTCTGGAAAAAATCTGAATAGTTTTTGAAATGTGTTAGAGTTATTTATTTATTATTTTTCTTTGTTTCCTGATTGCCAAGACAAGAGAGAACTACTTAACATGAAGAAGAAGTAAAAATTCTGATTGCCCTGGGATGGATTTAGAGTTAGGGTTAGGACTGAGTTCGTTACAGATGATGACTTAGAGCTTATCAGTTCGACGCGTCAATTGTCACATCATAAATGCAAGGTGCCATGCACATGTCTAAGTGCTTTCCAGTTTTTGGGGACTTGTCTGCAAGACACTATACCACATTGCACAAAGTAATCCTGCTTAAGGTGGACTTGAAGCAGCCTTGGTTATCAGTGGTGTCCACAGCTTTACATGTTCATGTCCTTAGTCCTCAGGATATCATAAAGGTGTAACGTGTGGAGCTGGTACTTACTCTGAATGTCACCAGCTATTATTAGATGAGATACATCTCAATTTGGATAGAAGAGTTGGACCAAAAAAGCAATTCTGATATCTGTACATAAAGACTTTAAATGGTTAGGGTTGACTGGGAAAACAATTTTGACACAAAGTTGCCAGCTGCTGGTGAACAGTTCTTCTTTTTGATTAAACCACCAGTACTTCTTAATCTCATCCTTTCTCTCTCCATCGTCTGCCGTCACTTTCCAGGGTGCCTTGCCTTTTGATCATGACAACCTGCGGCAGCTTCTAGAGAAAGTGAAAAGTGGAGTATTCCACATGCCACACTTTATACCTCCTGACTGCCAAGCTTTGCTCAAAGGAATGATAGAAGTCAACTCTGACAAGAGACTAACGGTAAGAAGGGAACATGTCACTATTACCAACATTAGCTGATGGTGATTTACCCAGATTTTCTGAGCCCATGTTTTAGTTTTTGTTGATTATATAATAATAATGCAGCAACGCACAAGATATGTAACTACAGTGACA